CATTATTTTGGGGCTGATGGCTGACTGATTTCTCATTTCATTCACCTGTCTAGCTCCTCCCTGTTTCTCATCACTGCTCATCTGATCCACCTGCTCCTTCTTCTGTTTAATTCCTTGGTCCCAGCCATCAGTTCCAAATTATTTTTGAGCATTTGGTGTTGAGAGTTCTCGAGCGTTTCTGTGAAGTTCTGATTGCCTGATCCTGGTCCGTTTCTCTATTTGGAACTTTAAGCCTGCCTGCCCCTGTCTGATCTTTGTGCCTAGACTATCTTCGGACTCCTGTTGGATTATTTTGTGGACCGAGCCTGGATTCTGCCTTCCTTTGTCAGCTCGGATCTGATCTCTTGTCATTTTAGCAGCCTTCTAGGCTTCTGCGTCTGGAACTCTCTGGCAGCGTCCCCTCTGTATTTTCAGTCGACTGGCTGGAATCATCCTCGTTCTCTGGGCATGGACTAAACTGTTAAACCAGGTAAGTGACTCATGTGTTCATAATCATCCTCCGTCAGATTATGGTAGTCACTATCTTCTCTCTGAAACACTTTCCTGATTCCGATGCCCTAGCCGCTGCAGCTGTCGCCACTGCAGAAATGTCCCATCATTGTTTGAATAAACGCTTTTTATGTATTTCACCGTCTATCTTGCCTGAATTATGGGTCCTAAATTCTTATCTATCAAAATATGTCTAGTTAGATTAAAATCTTAATGTACATTAAAAAAAGTTATATGAAACCCTAAGAATCTTGAATCTTTCTCGCAAATTTTTGAAAAGACCCGCCCTCTCCAATTTAAAAAATAATGTGCATGCACAACCCTGTACCCACTCCTGAGAGGAACAGCTGTTAAACACTTCCATTTATCCTTAAGGAGGTGCGACGATGCAATGATAAGGCGGTTGCTGGGATGGATCTCATCTCACCCATATATATACATAAAAAGTTTCCCAACAAAAAAAAAATCATGAAATGCTTGCATATGTGTGTGTGTGCTGGAGTGGACATTTTGACATGTTTGCGGGGTAAATAAGGATCTGTGGCCACTGTATAACTGTATAACACCAATACCATTTTGAGAGCCAAAAGTTTATTCAACTATTGTCACCCATTCTAGGTAGGCAATAAAAGGTTTTACTGGATTCAGTTTATATTAGCCTTTCCTGCTTCACAAAGGGAGGCAGAAGCTTGATAAAGCCATGATTGCAATTATTTTACATCTAAGTTCTTCATATATACACACACATTAATTTCAAACAGATGGAACCGGTATGGTATCAGTCGATACTGCACCGCCAGGTATCTGATATCGGTATCGGGGCCAAAAAATGGCATCGGTGCAACATTAGAAGAAGGACGGTGAGCACCAATGAGTCCTATTGGATATTTTACAATGGTTGGGTTGTCAATTTGTATACCTGTATATGTACGCAAACTTATAATTAACTTATAATTAATTAGCACCTTACAGGGTTTCATCTATTTGCCTGGTGAGCTAGGAATGGACTTGTTGTTGTACCTTTGCCTACAATATTCTGATTTCTTTAAGTTAACATATTGTAAATTTTTGCTTCATGGACGGCGGACAGGTTAGGATGCAGATTAGTTAGTGAATCCATTCTTGAACATTAAGTCACATCTGTCTTTTAATACACAATATATCATTATGATGATGCGTTTTCCTCTTTTAGGAAAAACGGCTGTCGCTCATAAAATAAGTGATTAAGCCAGTTTTACTCAAGTCAAACTGAACATGCTAATATGGAAATGTTTCATATGTAGGAGCAACTAGAGGCTAAAGCCAGGCACACACTGTGCGATATTTTCAATCTTTGCACACAGCTACAGCTTAAAGAGTATGACGAAACCACAGGGTTTAAAAGTTCACAGCTATTGATGCATGTTCTCACACTGCGTGGCCCAAAGTTCTGATGCGATCTGATGACGGCCGACTGAATTTCAAACATGTTTGAAGTTGACCTTATGATTCCTGATCGGGAGGTGGTCATGAGAGGCTGATCGCCCCTCGTTACCCCCTGTAAACTACATGATTCATGACCTGGCTGAAACTTCTCCCGATCGAAAAATTCTTGCACGACTTGAAAGTCGCCCTGAAAAGGGCAAAAAAAAAAAACATACAGTGTATGACTGACTTAAAGATGGATAAATAGATCGCATAGAGGCTGGATTTCTTGTGCCCAGGGTTGACTGGGCTTTTCTAAACATAAAAAATATTTGGCTTGAAGTTATTGTAACACCATACAATGATGCCTACACTAATAAAATCCTGGTTTGTTGAGCAAATCATTAACTGTAACTGCAATCCAAAGTAAAGCCTGGCTTTCCCTGCCTTTCTCTGCATCACCACTACTTCCCAATAAGTATCAGTTAACTGCTTGGAAGTGGAAATAGAAGCAAGAGAGGGAGCTGCTTTGGGTCTGTAACTTCAAACAACATTCCGGTTTGCTTTTTTCCATTTAATGTGCCTCAAAGCTCATTTTGCAAATATTATTTAGATGCCAGCTGTCAGTGTGCTTGGAGTCAAGCACACAGAACTATGAATGGATTTGATGAGTAGTGAATGAAATTCTTGTTGATGACTCGTTGCTTGCAGCTGATGCTAACATAGTTCATGATTGCATCTTGATACATTTATACCTAGAAAGGTTCACAAACCTTTATAAATAGGAATTTCTTATTGTAAAAACCATCAAAGCATTTATTTGCTTACTTATGCTATGATTTTTTTGGGCAAACAAAAGGAAGTAAATGTAAAATCTCAAGCTAATTTGCAGTTTTAGGAGATTTTCTAGTCCTGTTTATCAAATTCAGGCCATGTGGACCTGTTTTTTGGGTTAAATGGATGGCAAGCTACTGAAACCTGCTTGCAAACCACTGCTTAATTGTCTGGTAGTATGCCCTTGCAGCCTGTGCTCTGTTGCCCTTTGTTCTCATTGAAACAACTTCACCAGCTTCAATTTGGTAAGTATTTTAAGATTTAATCTGTAAGCTAATAATGAAAATTTCAATGATTTTAGTAACTAATTAGAAATTAATCAAATTTAGTCTCTAGATCTTAAGCACAGGTTTATAAAAAGTGTCTGGATAAAAATAAGGGCATGATTTAAGCTGTTGTGTGGGAGAGCTGAGGTAAAGGCAGTCAAGTAAATTAAGCCTTCACTAGAAAATCTGAAGCATTGAGGTAGAAAAGTGTGAAGGAAGACGAAATGGTATGTTTTTCCATGAAAATGCAGGATGCAGAATCATCTCCCCTTTTTTTAACAAAGCAAAAAAAAAGAGACAATATACAGATATTTTGTATAAAAAACAAATGTATAAATTCTATAGCAATGTAGAGAAACACATTTATCATTATATTAAAAAATACAATTTGTTACCTGCATAAACAGTGAGAAAAATTAGTATTTAAACACCCTGCTATTTTGCAAGTTGTTCCACTTAGAAAACATGGAGTGGTCTGAAATTGCCATTGAGGTGCATGTCTACTGTGAGAGACACAATAACTATTAATTTCTATGATTCAGCTGCAAATAAGTATTTGAACACCTGTCTATCAGCTAGAATTCTGACCCTCAAAGACCTGTTTGTCTGCCACTAAAATGTCCACCTCCACTCCATTTATTCTCCTAAATCAGATGCACCTGTTTGAGTTTGTTAGCTGCATAAAAACACCTGTCCATCCTATACAATCCAACTACTAACATGGTCAAGACCAAAGAGCTGTCCAAAGACACTAGGGACTAAATTGTAGACCTCCACAAGGCTGGAAAGGGCTACGGGGAAATTGCCAAGCAGCTTGGTGAACAAAGGTCCACTATTGGAGCAATCATTAGAAAATGGAAGAAGCTAATCATGACTGTCAATCTCTCTGAGATTGGGGCTCCATGCAAGATCTCACCTCGTGGGAAATCAGCCCAGAACTACATGGGAGGAGCTGGTCAATGACCTGATAAAAGCTAAGACCACTGGTTCCAAAGTTGTTGTGGGTAATACACAAAGACGTTATGGTTTACAATAATGAAATCTTCTTAAACCAGCACATGTCGAGTCCTGTCTTAAGTTTGCCAATGTTCCTTTGAATGATCCAGAGGAATCATTGGAGAAAGTCATGTGGTCAGATGAGACCAAAATATAACTTTTTGGTCATAATTCCTCTAACCGTGTTTGGAGGAAGAAGAATAATGAGTACTGTCCCAAGAACACCATCCCTTCTGTGAAGCATGGGGGTGGTAGCATCATGCTTTGGGGGTGTTTTTCTGCACATGGGAAAGGGCTACCGCACTGTATTAAGAAGAGGATGACCAGGGCCATGTATTGTGAGATTACTGGGAACAACCTCCTTCCCTCAGTTAGAGCATTGAAGATGGGAGGAGACTGGGTCTTCCAACATGTCAATGACCCAAAGCAGTTGTGGAGGAGTGGCTCTCTAAGAAGCATGTCAAGGTTCTGGCGTTGCCTAGCCAGTCCAGACCTAAACACAATAGAGAATCTTTGAAGGGAGTTCAAACTCTGTGTTTCTCAGCAACAGCCCAGAAACCGGACTGATCGAGAGAAGATCTAAGTGGAGGAGTGGGCCAAAATCCCTTCTGCAGTGTGTGCAAACCTGGTGGAAAAACTACAGGAAACATTTGACCTCTGTAATTGCAAACAAAGGATACTGTACCAAATCTTAACATCAATTTTATCAGGTTTTCAAATACTTACATACAGCTGTATCAAATTAATAAATAGATAAAACATTATGCATTGTGATTTCTAAACTTTTTTTTTTTTTTTTAAGATTATGTCTCTCACAGTGCATATGCACCTGCGATGACAATTTCAGAACCATGATTCCTAAGTGGGAGAACCTGCAAAATAGCAGGGTGTTCAAATACTTATTTGTAAAACCATACATTGTGTGTGGACGGTTTAGCTAGATGGTTCACGTTAAGAATCAAACACACTACATTTAATTCTATCCTAGGAGACACAAGCAGCAGGTCTTACCTTAGCCAACTGTAGGTTCACCCATTTTGTGAAAGTCTTCTTCTGAACGTCTTCTCTTTCATCTGTAGGGAGAAAAAAGATTTTAAGAAGAGTTCAAACCAGATGAAACATAAATGTCTAAAACATCCAGAGGTGTCAAGTAACGAAGTACAAATACTTCGTTACTGTACTTAAGTACATTTTTTAGGTATCTATACTTTACTCCATTACTATTTTTTCTTCTTACTTCTGACTTCTACTTATTACATTTTCTCACGAGTATCTGTACTTTCTATTCCTTACATTATTAAAACAACCGTTACTCGTTACTTTTGGCTTCGGTTTAATGCAGAGGTCACGGATTTATGCGGAAAAGTGCATCCCTGCTGAATATGCATCCCCAGTAGCGGGAGCGCGCCTCGCTCTGTACAACCACATATCAACGAGGGAAACGGATTAAACTATGACCAATGGAGCTACTTGTTGTTATATTAATGATATAAAAACGTTTAAATATTCCTCTTCTGGGGAAAACATTTGTGATTATATGGAAGATTCATTTAAAAAATATATGGGTGTTATGAACAACATTAAATCCAAAGATTTTGACCGAGGTACGGCTGATTTATTTTTTCTAGTCTCTTGTTTTTCACACACAACAATAAACAGTGATGCCGACGGGAAACTGCAAAGCTTTGTCTGAAGCGGAAAATCAAACGCGCATCTACACAGCACAGCGTTCACAGACCAGTGTGATGCATTCACGAGCGTCAGATAGCTATGGTGCATTCAGGAGCATGGGACATTTCATATTTTCAAGGAAAGATACATAAACGGAACAGAACTAAACTAATACAATAATGTATCTATTCAGAAACAGTGTGGGCTTTTTTTTTTTATAATACTGATTGCTCTATAATTGTCATTCTAATTTTTGTTTGATTGTGCACATCTGCTAGTTTTTTATTCTAAGAAAATCTGTAATATTAGCAGCAAATTATCAAAGTTTTTCAAAAGCCAGTTTAGAAGCTCCAAATGAGGCTTAAGATCATAGAGCGACAATTACACTGTTATTGTTTTACAGGTAGAATTAGCATTTGCTGACCCTTGACCTTTAACTACTGATGGATGTATAGGAATACAGTCATATAAGTGTCAACTCCTCTGAGATAACACAGGATGCAATTTTTGGCAATTTGTTTATTTATTTTTTTTTCAATTTAAAAATTTAATGTATTTTCTTTATTCAGACCCACTGATTTTTAATTGGTTCCCTGTGGTTTAATGTTTGTAAAAATTTATTTCCCGTCATGTGCTCCATCGAATGCAGATCATTGGCTCCGCCCACATCTAGTGAAAACTAGTGTGATTGGATGAGTCATAGAACGCAAACACTCATTGGTTAGCTAAAGGAAATCATCAGAAGCAAGCAGGTGTTCTTCAAACTGCTAACGTGAATTGTCTATGCCATGCTACAATGTCGGATTCAGAAAAAGATATTGAAATGTCTGAAAGGTCGGACACAGGCGAGAGCGTATCGGGAGACGGAGACCAACAAGACCTCCCTCATCCTTGGCCCTATCTCAAAGAATTTTTAGAAATAGTCGAAAAATGTATCTTTAATATTCATATAGCGGCATCTGGCTGTTTTTTTTTTTTTTAAGGTTACTTTATACTTTTATACTTTAAGTAGTTTTTGGAGCACATACTTTTTCACTTTTACTTGAGTAAAGAGGTCAAGTTGATACTTCAACTTTTACCAGAGTGTTTTTAAACTGCAGTATCTATACTTCTACTTAAGTAACAAATGTGGGTACTTTTGACACCACTGAAAACATCACAGTGGGGAAACTCCGAGAAATATATAAAAGCAATGTTAAAAATATCTGCTAGGATGGTCAGATGATTGTGTATGTTTAACTATACTTCAGTACTGACTTCTGACTCATAAAGTGGCGCTCAGCTTCATTAGAGATTCTTCAAATCCTGCTCAGGGCTAATTGCAACCTCATCACATCAATCAGAAGCCCACTTACAGGGCATCACTGGCTGTGTATCAGCATCACAGAATAAACCACATAGAGGCCTCCAATCTCAGCTCTGTTTCCACCTGCTATTAAAGCACATCATCACCTGCATCTTCAGTGTTAAACTGCGATCAAAGCTTAAACGGAGCTGCCAGAAAGTGCTTACCTCCTGACGGGATTTCTTTTGTATTCGCTTTTATTGTCATAAGATCAAACAAACTCTAATATAAGAAAAAACAAAAAAGCAGCCCCTAATTAAAGACAACTTTTAGGTGAAAAACATTGCTCCTGTTGATAAAACAAGAACTTAATTTGATTCAAATATTTGTTATTCATTTTATTCTGCTAATTTAAAGTTTGATGATTATAACACTAGAATTAACAAATCATTTAAAAGAACCTGCTTTACGAAATAAATGGTCGGCAAGAGCCACCTCGTGATTTAAGAATTAGCTTCATAACAGTACATGTTTTGATCATTTAAATTTCATTTCAAATTTTTCATTAAAATTTTTCATTTTTAAATAAAAAAAACTAATACAAAGTGTATAAATGCGATACAAAGTGTTTCTGTATTTCTGTTTCAAAAACCAAAAAGCAGAGCTGTTCTTATCTGAAATGAACAACAAGTTTAAATTTAGTTTTTGTATTTCAAAACCAAAATAAAAATTTTTTTTATCTGGTTTTGGAATTTTAAATAAAAAAAAATAGATGACCAATACATTCATGAAGGATCCACTGTCCACAAGCGGAATAAAAATGGAACATTGAAGAACCGTACCAGGAGGAACTAGCCAAATGAAAATACTAAAAAGGCTCAAGTTCAATTCAAAGGGGAGGTCATACAATGAATCCAACGTACGTCCAGTTTTGTCAAAGCTTAGAACTACCTAAAGCTCTCTAATGGGGTCAACCATGTCTTAATACAGTCAGCGTGTGCTAGTGTGTTAACTTCTCACGGATGTTTTGATATATATGGGTGTTATATTTTATGTTCTTTGACAATCATACAAGTTTTGTATACAAGGTTTATAAGTTTTCACAAATGAAGCACTCGTATTACCTAAGCACTCTCATTATCTAAGTTTCTGTGTCCTTGAGAGCATGATATAATTTGTTTTTGTACTTACGAGCTCTCGGTGCCATGCTCTGAGCATAACTTGTTTTTGGTATCAGCTGTCCACAAACCCTGGGTGAGGTCAGGGGATGCCGGCACAATGTTTTGGTTTTCTGTAAAATGCTCCAGGCGTGAGAGGGAGCGGTCACTTTTCCTGATTGGGCAAAACATGTTCCTTTGAAGTTTGGCATAAATGGCGGGTGGCGGTTGGCACTGGCAGAGTCTGCTAGGGTTGCGTACGAACGCCTAGCTGCGTGTTGCTGCCCTGCTTGGGTCGACTGGCTCTCCGATCCTTTGTGTCACGGTAAGGGGGACAATATAATTTGTATTGGAACAATATATTTTGTATTCAGCACCGTGCCTTGATTGATGTGCTTGTTTTGCTGTTTTCTATGGCGGAAAAAAACGACACATTTTACTCTAGCAGAAACAGTGTGTGTATGTATCTGTGTGTTATCTTTATTACAGACTCATCCCGATCCTGCCTAAATTTCCTATTACAGGTTTCAAGATTTCATGGCCCACCACGCCAAAGTGCTACATTTCTAAAGGCAAATTTCAACATTTCCCTCCATGCATTTTCGCAAAAAAGAAAAGCTAATTATCCTTGTAGCTTCTGACAGCCGAAGGAAACTAAGGTAATGTAAACTCAATGGGTTGTTGGTGTTTAGATTTAGTAAAAAAAAAAAGCCAGGCACTCTTAGGTGTGAAATTGGCTTGTTTTCTTTCTTTTTTTTGGTGTGTTCAAACCGTAAAAGCCCACAATACCGCACTCTCCCAAAACCCTGATAGGGGTGCTAACATTAGCTAGGGTGACCAGACGTCCTCTTTTTCCCGGACATGTCCTACTTTTCATACCTAAAAAATGTCCGGGAGGAATTTCAAAATCATCCGGGATTTAGGTCGACTACAGTGCGGCACGTAGTCGTTTCGACTACGCGCCGTCAGCTCCAGGAACCCCGGTGGACGGAAGCAGGGAGCCAGCGGAGGTAACAGAGGTTGGGTCAGCTGTCTGTATTCACAGCGTTTTGAATCTGTTTTTTTTTATTTTTTTCCCCTCTCACCCGGTGCTCTCGTGTCCCGCATTTGATCTAACATCATCGGAAATGTCGCTTTGAGACACCCGATTTGCCTTATTTCACTGCTTAGAGAGCCGCTACATGATTGGAGGAGAGAAACAAAGCAGCACTCAGTGAATATTAACCAGCAGCTACTTCGATTCGTAAAAGTTAGGAGATGGGTTGGATAAAATAATTAGAGATGCCACAGAAAAATCTGTTTGTTAGACATATGGAGCTTTTTCAGCTAAAAAATAAAAAGCAACAGATTGTAAGTTTAAACAAGTTAGTATTATAATGCAAGAAGTTTGAGAAAACAGTTTGTTCTTCTTTACTAGTTAAGAAAAGCTGTGCTTCTCAGAGGACAATGACTCCCAGTTACTGGTTAAAATTAACATGTTTTTTTTTTATTTTACAGACAGAATCAGACTGCAGACCTTCTACATATCTTGAAGTTTTGTTTCTGGCATCATAATATTAGTAAATAAGTTCATAAATCTTTCTAAACAGAGCATAGACCACATAGGAGAGCTACGTCCTCCGGACAAGAACTGGCTGTACATCCACACCTTATGGACAACGGACATTCTTTTGAGGACCTGAAAGTTCACATTTTGGACAAAGAAGACAGGTTGTCTGAAAGGGGTGTAAAGGAAGTAATTTATGTTAATAGAGAAAAATAACCTTAAACAAATGGGGTGGACTCAGGTTCCAGCTCCCAAAAACCTACAAGGCATAGAGTTGATTCCTTTCCACTATCATAATCCTCATCGCCATGCAAGGGACCAAGACATCTCATTTGTTCAGTCAGGCCCCTAACGACTCCGCCTTTTCAGAGGCATAAACCAGTACTGGTATTGCAAGCTAACAAAGACCTCAAC